GAACTGAGAATTTTTCGAGATCCTCCCGATGTCTTGGCACCCTTATAAGGTTGAAGTCTTGTACTAGTACTAAGTTGTAAATGCTTACGTTAATAAAACTGAGCCGGAAATCATTTAATGGAGAAAATGATGTTTTCTTCATTTGTGCTGAAACGAATTCTGTAAATCGAGGTTATTTCAGATATAAGCAATAACTATTTACCGACGTGTCGGTGGCTAATAGTAGACATTTAACGAGCCGCGAAGCAGCTTGGCAAATATTCACTAATAGCCACGACACTGAGGCGAATAGCTGTTTTTAGTACACACTAAATCAGTGAGATAATATGGCACAAAAAGATGATTTTAATAATCAATTTATTCCTGTACGTGCGGCAGCGTGAAACTCGCGAGTTGCTCGGAGGTAAATAGCAAAGGATATTCAGAGTTTGAGTAGCCAGTCAGAGCACACCTTCAACGCTGTCCACTGCTTTAGTATATACTAATGACCTTTAACTTGTCGAAACCTTGTCGAAAACCATTGCATTAATTCTTGACATGGTTTCATCGTTTCAGAAGTTTCAAGTGAGAATGACTGTGACGAACAAGCGAAGGAAACAAGATGCACTTGCGGTAAAAACAAGAAAAATAAGTCAGTTTCAGACATTTTCTGTGTTTCTGGTAAATGCCCGTGCCACAAAGTGAACCACTCTTGTACCCGCTCGTGTAGATGTTACAATTGCAAAAATACGTGCAATTCCAATGAAGTTGTGAAGGTAACAAAGAGTCTGAAGAGAGGCTGTAGGTGCGGAGTTGGACAAAAGAGCAAAGGGGACGGAGAACCAAATGCAAGTCACAAGTCGTGTCAAGACAGTCTCCGCAAGTCGAAGTGTCCGTGTGTAGCGGGTGGCATAGGATGCACCGAAGTCTGCAGATGCTTTAATTGTGGAAACATTGTTCAAGCTCGAGCTGACCCGGGAAAATCCCCAAAACGAAAGAAGCGAAATAGGGCGACCGTCTCTCCATATAAGAGGAAAAAGGGATCAAAGTTCATGATAAGTCAAAATGCAGAGGTGGATTGTGGACCATGGAGAAACATTGAAACGCTTTGTTTGATGGTTTGCCGGGACGTGATGCTAAGTCAAGGACTTTCCATAAATTCAAAAAATTTGCGTGATTTGTATGATTTCGTGGCTAAGTCTCCTGCTGTTATGGAAATGTCTTTAAACATAGCTGCGAAGTCTACAGCACAAATTGCGGCTAAAATAGCGCATCTAAGAGGCATTGATTTGTAAAATACACATAAGGTAGGGCTATCCTGTCCAGTGAAAGTTTTGAAGGCTTCACTTCTGCTACCTTTTAATTCCGCTCTTAATGATAAAAGAATGTTCTTCAAAAAGTTCAAAAGTTACCCGTTAGATCTCATGTCCAATCAGACTTTTGAGCTTTCTCTTTAATGGATGAAAAACGCGAGAAAAGATGACTAGTGATTCACGATTTCTTATTCACACTGTATTAGGCCACAGAGAAATTACTAAGTAAATACAGCTTTGTGTCAAAACTGAGTGATTACCTAGATTTTGTAAGACTATTTTTGTTCTTTTGTATCTTGTTATTATAACAAAAGATTCACGGTGTGCATTTCATGTTTATGTTGGAAAAGGTGTGACTAATCGTACGCGAACTCGTTCATATTGGATTGCTGCAGAATAAGTACAACTTGTTACATGTTTAACTGACCACAATAGTTTTTTTAATTACTCGTATACCAATGATAGTTCTGCATTCCCTCATTGACGGCATTCTCTCTTTCACTCTTTGTAAAAGTGTGTTATCAAAGAAATAAACACGTGATAAAGGCAATTTGTGAAATTCGAAAGAACAGGTACGTAGTTTCACAAACTTTATTTCTCACGGCCGTAGTAGACTAAGCAACTCCTTTAATTTAAAAACACCAATCTGTGAAACGAGCCCCTTTCAGGCCTCCTACTTAAATGGCATTGTGAAACTTTGGAATTACTCTTGTTCTATTGCTCCTTCTTCTAGTTTTTCGAGTCCGCTCTCCTTCCAGCTTTTTGTCAAACAAACACTTTTTGACTGCTTGAGACATTGACATTGACTAGCCCTGCACGTAGACACTAGTTAGAACTTGCTCGTGCTACAAGCTAGAGGTGTAGTTAGTACTATGTTATAAACCAAATAAAGTTGTTAAAAAATTTGTTAATTCAAATGGCAGGAATTGAAGCAAATGCATACATCAAGGTGAATATGATTAAATAAGCACTTATAAAAGAATATCAAGTCTTTCAGTTCTCTGTCGTAGGTAAGAGGGAGTAAGAGGGTAATAAGTCTGTCTGTCTGTCTCTGCAGGACATCTCGCCAATCCTGGTTTGTAAGATCCATTTGGTAGCGCGCCGCTGCACTCGCTCGACTTGTGCCTTCAGGGAAACCTGAGCGGGCGACCAGACTTGAGTAGCGCAGCAGAGTTATGACTTGACTAGCGATAAGGATGGCGCGCGCC